GATTTTACTCTATTTTTGTTCCTTCCGTCTGTAGCCGGACGGTGTCTGAGATTTTAAGTCAGTGTGAGTCCACGTGTTCGATGCCTTGTGGTTTCGTCAGCAGGGTGGGATGGTGGGGTGGGGGGTTACAGTCAGATTTTGTGATGAAATAAACGGGTGAAAATTGGCAGAAGGACCTAAGCAGAGATTATCTGTGTCACAGTGCTCAGAATTCCTAGAAGCCTCAGTCAGTGGTCAGTTTAGTTTGCTTTGCCAGTTCAAGTCCTGTCTTAAAACGATCAGCTGCACCCTGCCTTGCTCAAACGGCCATTGCATTTTTTCTTCTTTTTTGTTACCCACCTGTTTCATACACTGCTTCTGTCACCCTCTGAAGAACAAGAGATTTTTGTGATCCATTATGTTTCAAGCTATTTAACTGTCATCATGATATAGAATCTTACGGAGTCAATTTCACAGTCATATGAATTTACCAAAATACTTTTAAACAGCTGTTTTTATATTGTGTATAGTGTATATGTGCTCATTTATTGGTTTGCTCAGACGTCAAAAATCTCTGACCTCACCATTGGTTGTGGGACTCTTGAGTGGCCTAGTAGACACTTGAAGTTGAATAAATCTAGTATCTTAAAGCAATAAATACATGAACATAACTCTGGCATCGTGAGGTATTTCGCTGGTTTCATTACATGTAGCTTCACTCGATGAATCCAGGCTGGATCAGGAAGATATTTTGGCCTCTTTAACAGTTTCCCCGCAGAGCCTTTAGAGGCGAGCGATCAGGTCAGGCCAACTTCTCTCTGAGTGGATTTTTTTTAAGGCTGATTAAATTAGCTTCAGTGTTACAGCGACGATGGTAATGGCACAATCCAGGGACTTTTAAGTGTCTACTCTCAAAGGTGCTCTCTGGTCCACACGTACAATGGTATTTAGTGGCTTGCATGTCTCATATAACAAAAGTTCAGTTTCAGGGCTCGCACTAATACGACAGGCCAGGCTACCCGGAGGAGGCTTACGCAGTGAATTGGTGTTGGACATTTTTACCCATCAGCTAGATGTAACACAATTGGTGTATTTTGCACGTCTGAAGTAAAGCACTGTCTCTTTTACTCAGTTATAAAGCATTTTTTAAAGACCTATGATGAAAAGCTGGTGTCTGAAAAACAAAAAAAATAGCAAAAAAAAAAAAGTGCTCTTCCACGCAAGAGCCTCCACCCCCACCCCGACAGCAGTACAACCACGGCTTTTGATAAGTAATATATTAGACATTTGAGAGATTATCAGACATTGTTGAGTATTAGGTATATAGAATAGCAGTCTCTATCTTGGGGTTTGTTGGTGAATTATTGAGTAGCAATGGATTGAAATTGTTCTTTGCAATGTGTTCAGTGGAACCTGTGTCTGTGTAGAATGAGTCTTGCTTTTAATGGCTATCAAAATGATTGTTAAGTCTTTGTTGGAGGGATCAATGTTTGTTTGTTTGTATGCTGTCTTTCTTTTTTTTTTTTTCAATTCTGATGGAGAATATGTTTTATTTTTGATAGCTATTAAACTTCCAGGAAGAAGTCTTGAGATTGCATGGGGCTGCAACCCTTTGTGTGAGAGCGTAATAGTAGTAATAATAATAATATCACGATTAGACGATGATCACTGGCTTCTTGGTGGTAAGAAACATTGGATTTATATGCATCAGATGGTGGAGAAGAACAGATCGGCGTACTTTTTCAACCTAGATTTGCACAGGAGTGGATGAGACCGGTGGTGTTTCATATGTCCCATGTCTGTCTTGCCTTTTTTTTTTTTTGCCCTGCTTGGATGCTCATTACACAAACAGCCGCCACCATTAGCCGCTCTGAGCCTGTGCCGGACCATCGTTTCCAGCTGTGAGAAGGCCCAGTTCTGCCTCGCCCCTTCCAAAGAGAGAACACAGTCTCAAAGTGTAAACCTGTAGCTCCACCGGGGATGGCTGGGCTTCTCAGAGACCACGGTAACGCAAACAGCGCCCCCTAGAAGTCAATAGGAAGAATCAGGTTTGGGTGAAAGTGTGTTTGAAAATAAGCGAGACAATACTGCTGTATCCTGCATAGCATGAGATTAGTCGCTGCACCGGTTCACTCTCCCCGACAACCACGTAGAACAAAATTTACAGGGCTCGTAGGCACATGTAACTGCTTGAATTCAGAGATGGCTGACAAATTCCTATACTCATTGAATGTACTGTATTACTGTTTTTAAAGATAGGATGAGCTAATCTAGTCACCTTTTGTTATTGGTCCTTGTTTAATTTGTCTAAGGTATTTTTTGTATACAAAGGTTTACATTTTTATGTATATTTTTCTTGTGTACAAATTATGTAATATGTGTACAAACACTGTATGTAATATCTGTATATAGTGTGAGAAATTTGATCTTTTGTTTTTGGATGTATAAATAAAACTTGCTGTGAGGTATTTGAGGCCATGGTTTAACGTGGTTTTTCAAAGGTCACCTAAAAAAAAATGCGAGGTGAGATGTGCTCGTGTGCACCCTGCCACAGTTTGACAGCTCCTTTTATACGCATGCAAATCATTGTGGAGTCTGAGGGGATATGCCTTATGTTTAATGATATATTTTCTGTTCTGTTTAAAATATCATGGCTAATTTAGCAGTGATAAATTCAGTTTTATCGCTCTCTCTGTAACCTTGGATTTTGCACCTTTGATTCTGGCTGCTGTTAATTCCCAGCTCCAGGTTATGAACTCTGGAGCGCAGCCCCTTCAGTATCCAATCCAGACTACACTGGTAGGACTCTCTCCCTCTTTATTTAAACACGGCTTTTCAGATTTTTAGTTTCACCAGCTAAAAATCAAAAGAAAAACTTTTACCGTGTCCATGCTGTCTGTCTGCACTGGTATGTGCAGTAGCACCTAGCATATTGTCAGCACTCTTTGCCAGGTGGAGTCAGCTGGGGTACCTGATCAATATCACATGATATCATCAGCAGAGGTTTTATTTAGCAGTTATGGCACTGAAGCTTTAAACTAAAGGGCAAAAGGGCTTAAAGAAAAACTGGAGCCAACTCTAAATAAAAAAATGTTGTATCCACCAGCGTGACAGTGGTGTGGCACTAGCTGTGACTTGGGGTCTAACTAGTCAATATTTGAATATGTTTGAGAATTTAAGGACGCTTGGGTCTTTTGTGTGCAAAGAAAATTGAAGCTAAAAACTGTGGATTGTAATCTGCTAATCACAAGCAGCACTAAACCTAAGCCTCCCAAAGCCACTGATGTCAGCAGTTACAAATTTGAGCTCAGCAATTTAGTGCCGCCCTGCTCATACCAGCTTGTTGGCACCAGCTTTCTTTTTGTTTATTTGTTTAGTAGAAATGCGTGTAAGTACTTCTAAACTGGTCACTGGCAAGTGGCAAAATTGGAGTGGTTGTTTCCAAGTTCAGCCATCTGCCTTGGCCAGGACTTGCTGTATGTTTTCCCAATTTGTCCCTCTGTGTTTGTCTTGCAGGTTCCTGGTATGTGGTGTTAATCAGCGCAGCTGGGAGCACTTGGCCAACCTCCCTGGAGCATTTAAGAGCTGGCTATCTCAGTCTTTGAGCCCTCACATTTCACCCAACTATCATTAGTTTGGTTGGCTTCATTTTTCCATTTATTTCACAGTACACAACATGCTTTGCATTCACTCGTCCAACTACTGACACACTAACACACCTTAAAAATTAATAATTAATTATGCTTTTTAATAATAAATCTGAAAGTTCTGGTTAAAGCAGTGTCTTTACTATTGTTATGGCTCATGGGCTCTACCTGCAGGTAAAACAACACATTTGCATATCAACATACGAGGCAGGTGTCGAACTCCAGGCCTCAAGGACCGGTGTCCTGCAGGTTTTAGGTGCGTCCTTGATCAACACAGCTGATTCAAATGGCTAAATTGCCTCCTCAACATGCCTTGTAGTTCACTAGAGGCCTGGTAATGAATTAATCATTTGGTTCAGATGTGTTGGCCCATGGTGAGATCTAAGACTACGTTCACACTGCAGGCGAAAGCGCATCAAATCCGATTTTTTTGACCCTATGCGACCCATATCCGATCATGGTATGACAGTGTGAACGGCACAAATCCGATATTTTCAAATCCGATCTGGGTCACTTTCGTATGTGGTACTGAATCCGAAACATATCCGATGTTCCAGAAAGCGACTGCTGTGTGAATGGTCAAGTCGCATTAAATCCGTCTTTTACGTCACTGACACAAGACAGACACCAATTATCAGCGCCAGAGAAGCGCCTGATAATACATCGCGAACGCTTCCTGGCCATCCGGTGAAACTGCTGGGAAGACAACGTTGGAGAAACGTTAACATTTGATTTGGACTGCATAATCTGCAGATTCTGACAGAAATGTGCAACTATCATTTGAAGCACCGCTCCTCTAAAACAGCAATAAGGATCATTATTAGGTTATTTACATTATTATGTAAATAACAAAATAACTTATAGCAAAAATTGGGAAACGTAAAGTCCGAAGTCTTTATTAAGGGCCATCAGTCAAACAATATTGTTTGCTCTGGGTCTAAACAGAGCGCGTTGTGTGTGACATCTTCTTTTGCGCATGCGGGCCGCTTTGAGCGTTCACACTAGAGCGCGTTTGCTGCCGCATTTTATTTGTAGTGTGAACGAGCAGACAAAAAAATTGGATTTGATCAAAAAATTGGAATTGAGCATTAAGACCTGCAGTGTGAACGTAGTCTAAGACCTACAGGACACCAGACCTAGAGGCCTGGAGTTGGACAACCCTGACATAAAATGACAACCTTTCATCAAGTACACATCAAGAGATAAACCAAATCCAAATGACTTAAATTCCTCACATGCAACACATTCTGTTCTCCGCTTAAATCACTGAGCTATGAATTTCATATGGATTTTTACCCAGAGCTAATAGGTGTGATAATACATGATAAGAGAAGATTAATTAGACAAAAACAACAAAGCACCAGTTGCACAACATGAAGTTTAAGGAATGTTTTATTCAGAAATGTGTTTGACTGGTTTCTCTATATCCCTATACAGTCCGAAGATGAATCATCGTCTCCGTTCTGATAATGTTGCAAAGAAAATTTCAGTATCATTTCTTATGTTTAAAATTCAAACTGAAAACAAAAACAAACAAACATACTTGCTTTGATCTACGTGCAGCATTCAATTGTGCGAAATGCATACTGCATCAACTGAAAACCTTTATGCAGTAGCCATACATTTCATCTCTTGATTTTGAATATGTGGACTTTGAAATGTGTGGGTTATTATACAAAACTTAAAAAGGAAATTCGATCACATAACCGCAAGCAGCAAGAAGGGTGATATTTCCAAGAGGCACTACAGTCTGAGTCAGGAAAATGTAAAAAGCAAACCTATTCAACTTTCCACTTAATTTTTATTTATTTATTAAACATTTGACTAATTCCAAGAAATCCAACAGCACTGTCCTGAATGAGCAACAACACATACTGGACTGGAAACTTGTCAAAAAAAAAAAATCATTCAAACTGAAATGTACATTTTAAATGATTGCTATCCAGTGTTAACTGAAATTCGAACACATCACAGAATCCAGCTTTACTCCTTCTATTACATAATACTGCTCTTTGGGGTTATAAAAATAGTTTAAGCATATATGCCTACTTGTGCTGAGAGATGACTCCTGCCGATCACACTGCTTTATTGCCAAACAACACACAAAAGAAGAAGAAGAAGAAAACTCCATAACACTGAGTAACATCTTTAAAAAGCAACAGCGCAACACAAAAAGAGAAGAGCCACATTAGATCACGTTAAAGGTGCAGATTGGGGCATAAATGGCACATTTGTTTGAATGAAGAGCAGACTCATTACGTGCAGTCGCTCGGTTAACCAGCTTCTACTTATTCATCTGATCAGCATTTCAACTGCCCTCATTTTAGTCCATTTCCCACCAGAAGTACAACAGGAAGCAGAAAGGAACTATGAAATGGTTTGTTTAAAAGAACAAGGCTGACATACAGGAAATACTTTGTGTTCCTGTTAACTTAAGCACTCAGTGACCACTTTATTAGGAACCCATCTGCAGTATAAATCAGTCGAATACAAATGCCGTCTCTTTATGATGCTCACAATTGTGATGTAAAATCTAAGATCGGCAGATTACCTTTAATAGGAGGCTTATGTTATAGAAGTACAATGGAAACTGTGTGTCGTGCAATAAAGGTACATTCCTCCAATTACATTTTCACTTTTTCGGTGAAATTAAAAAGGTAATGTATCCTGGACTGAATTTTATTCTCTTCTTCTCTAATAACATTTGTAAACAGATGCGGTCTAACTGATGAAAACTGATGAGTTGCAAAAATATTGTCAAAATAACATTGCAGTGCAGTATTACAAAAGTAGATTTTAAGGTCAGACTGCACTGTATACCTAATAAAAAGGACACATTAACTGATTTTATTCTTCTCCTTTCTCCACTACAAATAAAATAAGTATTTCCCAGAATGTCAACCTATTCCTTTAACTTCTCGTGTGTATTGTATACATTATATCGGCAAAAAATGATTCTTAAACCCCAAAGATTATATATTAAAAAAAGGTTTAAGACAACCTACATACAGGGTAATTTTGCTCATGTGCACCTTCTTTTATGAAAAAAAAGAAATGATTTTGATCTTTTTGTCATTCATCAATAAAACATCACTGAATTTAGAAACAGAGGACAAGTCACAACAAAAGCAACAGATCCAACACTTTAAAGCTGATACTATTCATCCCATTCATCACAAATACTATAAGGCTGATCTGACTCTGTTTAGGGCTCAACATTCCTTCAGTCCTGTAGGAGTATGCTACAACGCATACTACTCAGGCCAACCATTAGGCTTTATACTACCATGCACATTCCTTTTAAGCTAGAGTCAAACGTAGCAGCAGTGCCACTGGTCTCTGAACACTGCTTGGCTTTATGTTAATATATACATCTGAGAGCAGTGTCATCTATGCTGTAAGGAGTCTAGAAAACTAGCACACTTATCACAAAGTTAAAAATCAAAATGATACAGCCAGGCAATTATTACACTGCATGACCAACTCCAAAGTCCAAGCTGTGAGACTTGTGGCGGACTTCTGTTCGTCCCAGATGGTAGAGTGAATACCTGCAAAATACCGTAAGTCTCATGCTACTGTTTTATGGCTACTTTTTTTTATAGTCAAAGGCATTTATACTTGAAGTGCAATTAAAGCTGTAGGTACACTGAGGAGGATAGTACCGCTGCAGCTCCTAGGAAGACTAAGAGAGTCTGCTGATTTAAACTCAGACGATGGCACTGCCCTGTTAATGGAATGAATGGACGAAACCTCAGTTTATCAATCAAATGCTGAAAAAACAAACAAACAAACAAACACAGAAACAAACAAAAAAAACAACAAAAAAAGCGGGATGAGGCAGAGTCCAACAAACCAACACAACTCGAAGCTTTGTGGAATTGGGGCTGGAAACGGAGCATCCAGTGTTTAAAACTGCTGGGGCTTCAATAAACCAGCCATTTCTCTCTTTTTCAGACATTCTCCAACATTATTACAGCCACACTAAAGAGTGTGAAATCAAAGAGAATCAAGAAATATACACAAACAAATCAATAGTAAACCATGATAGAGGGCAGCCACTTTCATTCACTGGATGAGTACTTAAAAAGTTTCCAACTAAACAGAGAGAAATCAAAGACAGATATACAAAAGAATAAAGTACAAAGGCAAGGCAATCTCACTTGTGGCCTCTTAAGTCTCTCAAAAATATTCACCTCACAGCCATTATCTACACTTTGCATTTGGCCATTTGTACACAGTGGTTCCAAATGCACCATTAACCTCTCAAGAAACTGTAGAAATCAGCCTATTTACAAGTCTGTACAACCACCCTGCAGAGCTCTTTCCATCTCCCAGTAGACCCAATCCACTAAAAGCGGGATACCTGAGTTTTCAATAGAATGCTTCAAACCCACTCGTCACGCTTCACTGAACATTTCACAGGATCTTTCACACAGCCACATGCACACAATTAATTAAGCAAGTTATTTTCTCCATAAGGATGCCGACTGTAAACCTATATGGGAAAAAGCCACAAACACACCAAAATCAAAACTTAAAGTCCTTCCAGAAAGACAGCTAATGTGCTCTTAAAATAAAACAATTGAGAAGGAGGTATCGAGAAGGGGAATCTTACAGCAGGTGGCAGCTAACTGAGTGGCCACTGACTGTCTTGAATAGGAACCTCTGATGCTGTGCTAGCATATAAACAGACATTAAGTAGGCCAGGATTTGCTTCAGGCAAATAAGTGATGGAGACCTTCCTGGGAGACTTCATTCTGGCTGTGGAGGTCAGAGGAAAAGATCTGACTGCTACCACCAGGGTGGAAAAGTGGAGCACAACTGGACTTGGCTCATCTCAGTGAGTGGGGGCTGCATGTGGCACAGAAAACCTGAAAAGAAATAAATAAAGGTCAATATTTACCAGCCTTGGGTTAAGTTGAGACAAAACATTACACAAAAACAAATTGCAGATGGATTAAACACATATACTTGCTATTATTCCTGCATAACAAGATTGAGAGGCTTGGGTTTCCTCTCTGAAAAGTCACCATTTAAGACTCCTCAGCTCTGATTTTCTGGGCTTCAGTAATACATCCTCACACTTAACATGTGCTTGTACCATGCTCACTGAAGCATGGAAAGTCTGATGCTACATGAAAAATAGAATTGAGGTTATTGGAATTTCTTGCCCCTTCCTGAGCCTGGTTCTGTTGGAGGTCTCTTCCTGTTAAAAAGGACTTCCCACTTTCGCTAAAGTGCTTGCGTTAGGCAGGGGTCATCTAATTGATGGGGTTTTCTCTGTATTATTCTACCTCAGTAGACTGGTTTTTTGTACGTTTCTGGCTGTAAGTCAATCATACTCCAGTCAGTCTCAGACATATCACAGTTAAATGAAATCTTGTTTAAGCTAAAATCTTAAATCTAGACAGTGACCATTGTAAACACTTTACCAATCTGTTAAAGTGCAGACATCCTCATAGAGGAACTAGCATAGCTATAGACTCTCAGTAGTATTTAGAAATGAGTGAAATCCTTTTAAAGTGCTGTCAACATTGTTTACTGTACATCAATATGATCAGATGACTCCATGATCCCAACAGAAACTGCTGTCTCATGGAAAACTTTGTACAAAATAGTGCTTTTGATGCATCAGTGCAAGTGACTATACCAATAAGTGTATTCAAAAAAGTGCATATTTTCCAGCCAAATTGAATTAAAGCTTTTCCCTTTGTCATTGGAAACCAGTTGGTTTACAATTAAGCTGCCCCCTTAGGCTTACATCCTGCCACACAGTCTGCTTTAATATGAAATCCATTCAGGAAGTAATTATGCAAATTCACAACCTACTAAATGGAGGAAAAAGTTAAAAGTTACTGGTGTGAACTTCACTTGCCTCTGAAGTCTCTGCACTAGTTCAGCCACCAGGGAGTCACAGATTCCTGGGTATTTTTCTTCTGCCTGAACAATGGCCTTTCGCAGCTCCTCTGCAGCTTCTGGCTTGCCATTACTTGTCTCGCCTTTCTGTTTCAACTGTGAAAGTGACAGCTTTTAGATGACATAATGTGAACTGCCTAATTCTAAAGAAAACTGCAGCCTCTAACATAAAATGGAACATAAACTTAAAGGTACACTGTGTAGGATCAGTTGCCGTTTGTAAACTCTGCTGACTCTAAAAAAAACTGACAGAGAGAACAGCGGTGGTTCAGCAAGCTAGAATGAATGCAAAGGGAGCAGCACAGGCAGGAAATTTACTGCTTTACTACTTAAAACATTACATTCAAGGGGGAAATGGTTAGTTAGTTGTTGTTTTTTTAACTCACTGTTGTTCTGGTTAGAGGTAAAAATAAACACAGCAATATGTGTACATAATCCTGCAGGAGGGTGTTACGTTACAGGATTTAATGAGGCTGAAATGACAGAACATGCCTCACATTGTCTGGTGTCACCTTTCTGCTGTGTGTGTGGCCATAATCACACAGGCCTAGAGACCAGTTGGCAACCACCTGGGAACCTCTGTTTGGCTTACTTTCAAGGCTATTTTATAGCCAGGACAATCTGCTAGCGACCAAAGCAACCACAAGAAGGTTTTAGGTACACACCATAAACTTCTTTTCACACTAGTGCATGTGTGCTACCTCGAGCAACTACTCTCCACCTGGGTGGGAAATGCATATCTTTCTTTAATGACTTGTGATGCCAGATGGTCACCAGGCCTGTGTGACTGGGCACTTAAGTTTCTCTCACCTGCTTCTTCCTCTGCTCTGTAAGTGTCTGTTCAACTAAGATTAATTTGCACTGTTTACAGTATTTACAGTATATAGTCCTTCCTATGACATCCTGAATGCTGCTATAGGCTGAGGACTCCACACTGAGGCCCTTCAACATAAACATATACTTCCATTGTTAGTAAAATCCTGCTGGGTACACCTTAAGTTGGTGTGACCAGTTGAGTACCAATTACTTATGTATTCATCAATGATGAATATTTTAATATGGGACAAGAAAGCGATGCTTGTACCTCTGAAAAAACTGGAGAAAAGATTGTTGATAAGCTTTGTGACAAAGGCCTCTTTGGATTCTCCTCCACCTGGAAAAAACAAAATACTTTAATTTGAAAAACCAAATAGGAACCTTGAATAAGGCCTTTTGAAAGAGCCCATTCCTTACCCGATTCCTTTCCAACTCAGCAGGCCGTGCTGCTCCATTCTGGACCTTTTTCAAGTCCTTTTTCAGGTCCTTTTTAGGGTCATTTGTCAGGTCATTTTTCAAATCATTTTTCAAATCGTTTTCCAGATCCTTTTCCTTGATGGTGTTGAAAATCCATTTATCATTACTAGCATCATCACCTCCAGATGCCTGGCCATCTTGTTCCCTACAATCAAGCAGGGTTTTAGGAACATCAGTGGACTACAGTTGATAGACTTTACACCTGCAACCCAACACTGAAATGAATAAGGTTGGTTTAGATAACTTACTCATCAGATTCGGAGCCAGATTCATCCCGAGACTGTTCTGACTTCCATCTCTTGTATCTGTCAATCAGCTCCGTCAGGTAGGTCGTCTTTTTGGCATGCCTTACAATATACCTATGTTTTAACAACTCTTTGGCAGTTGGCCTCTATAGAGAAAACATTAAAAAAAAAAAAAATTGAGCAATTAATAGAGTGGATTTCCTCTTCTTCTTTTCATTTTCAAGCTTAAAAATACAACTTAAACTCAAAAAATGAACTTTTTTTTTCTTAACACTTACAAAGCTAGCCTCCTTATTTAAACAGGCTTCAACAAATTCTTTAAGTGGTTTACTGTAGTTTCCTTCCAGTGTTGGCGGATTGTTCTTTGGGATGAGGAATAAAACTTTCATCGGATGAAGCTCAGAGTGGGGAGGCTCTCCTTTAGCCAGTTCTATTGCTGTTATCCCTAATGACCAGATGTCTGCCTAAAAAAAGGAAAACATTTGCAACCAAATGCCTGGTTTTTAAAATAGCAGAACACAAACATTTTGACAGCAAGCTCCATGACATGACACTCACATTGACTGACTTAAGTAACAAGGGTGTATTTGAGGAAACTGTGCAAAAACAAGACTGTGACATAGCAGCTGAGTAGACAAGCCACACTGACTCATGTTGTGGTCATAAAAAAAAAAAATAAAATAATATGGGTCATTTTTAGTCAAGAATACTCATCTTAAGCAATGCTGACAAAAAAAAACAAAGGTCAACAAAGCACTAACATGAAAAACAAATTGGGAACAATTTTATATGAAACAGTATACATTCATGACTAATTGTACAAACTTGTTTTAAAGCAAAATATTGATCTCGAATTTTTTTTTTTAAAAAGAACACAAAGTTATGACAAAGATTTTGCTGGGACAGCTGTTTTTAAGTTTAAATGTGACCGTGATAACACACAATATAAGATAATGCTAACCTTTGAATCATAGGCCGATTGCTTTATGACTTCAGGTGCCATCCAGAAGGGAGTTCCAACAAATGTGTTTCTTTTTATCTGTGTATCTGTCAACTGGCCCGCTACTCCAAAGTCTGCAAGCTTCACGTCACCCTGTTCTGACAGCAACACGTTGGCAGCTGAAACAGCAGTGAGAAAAATAAAAAGCTAGTGAGATGCATCACATAATGTCAAAGACCTATTGGTAGAACCATACCTTTTAGTTACCACAGGAACTAAAAAAAACACTCTAGAGAAAAAAAATTCTGACACTATTTTCAGCAACATTAACTTACACCTGTAGAAATGTTAAATGAAATGGCCTCCTCCATCACCCATCACTACTGTAAGACAAATATTATCTATGATGGTGTAGAAGTTGAATATTACAGGGCTGAACAGGATTTCAACTAAGTGTAAGACGTGGACAGATATTAGTGATATGGCTTGTGTGTAAATATAATTATGGCTCAACACTTAGACAAAAAAAAAAGACATAACAGATGCTGGAAGTTGTGAAATGCAAGCTTTTGTAAGTAATTTCCTAGCAAAGAATGACACAAAAAGATTAAAGTCTCACTTCAATATTAGCAAGATGATAAAGGGCTTGCTCTCTAAATATATTTTTTAAAACAAAGGCGATGTATGTACCAGACTGACCTTTGATATCTCTATGTATTTTCTTTTCAGAGTGCAGATACTCAAGACCTTTCAGGATTTCCCTTAGGATGGTGGCGATCTGTGTTTCATCGAGTAGACCCGGCTCCATCTAGGAGAATGGATAAACTCTTGACTCTGGCTGTTATTGTGACAACTGTCATAATGGCCTTACATACAAACAAACACTTTAAGTCTAGATTATCTTCAGATCGCAATTCATAACAACTTACCAAATCAAGGGCTGATCCTCCACCCAAATATTCCATAATAATCCATAATTTTGTACCCTGAAAAATAGACAAATCCATTGGACAGTGTTTAAAGTTATGGTAGAGACAGAAAACAGTATTCATTCAGGTTTCTAATAACGGGAATAGTTGTGGGTACTAGTTATGTCATGGGGTGTTTTGTGGTGGGGAAAAAAATCATGTTAGATAAGTGAATGATAAATAACCATTTTAATAACTGTTCCACTACTGTACACTATATGCCACATCTTCAGAGGTACAAATAGTGGAAGATCAATCAACTTTAGTTTTTTGATTGTTTGTTTGTTTGTTTTTTTTATAAGTGAGAGACCTTTCAGCTCATTCTGATATTAGTACTCTCACTGTTTGTTTTGTTTTGGGGGTTTTAAAAATACATTTGGTGTGCCTTTGCGCTTCATATTGTTCAAGACTTCTAGGAAACAACATCACACAGAATTAAATGTAATAATTGGAACTGTGTTATTGAGATTCAAGAAAACCTAGTTTTGGTTTATTGAACCACTATATAGATAGACCAAGATAATTAAAATTACACCCTAATTATGACACAAACTTTCAAATTTTATGATTTGAAATTTTATGATACACAACTCACTGGCTGTTATTGTGACAACTCTCATAATGGCTGGATTCTAAAACATGGAAAGAAACAAATACGTTTTCTATCTCATAATAACCTGTGACGGTACATCAGCTGTACAGTGAAAAGTCAAATTATAACTACAGGACCCTGCGAATGTCATTTCATCTTGCTTACACTTACAAGTGCATGCAATCTGCATAATATTATACATCAGCAGATGTTTTCTCAGTTGGTGCTGCTGCCTCACAGATGGAAACCAACACCCACCAACGCAGCCACACACCAATATCTGGACTTTCTTTTATTTGCATTCAGAGGATGGTCATTTTTCTGACTTCTTCTCATTTCTTTTGATTTTACTTTGCCATACACAAACTTCAGTGTCAGAAGCTCATTGTTTTTTGTGGGTTTTTTTTAGCTTTACAACCACACCCATCATCAGATCAGTACTGTAAGGAACACCTTGGTTTATTACCAGTTCTTGTGTTATTTCTAATACAGATGCAACAATCCAACTTTTTCCAGTTCTGATCCTATACAGAGACTCGATCTGGTATCAGACCGATCTGATACCAGTGTTAAATAAATAATCTGTATTTCTCTCAGTGAGAAAGAGTCAGGGAATTAGTCTTTATGTGGAGGGCAACACTGTCTTCCTAACTTTCTAAAGTAAAGGAAATAAACACCTTCAAGAGTATAAATTTTACAGGACTGGTATTTAGAAGCAAAATAATAAATGACATTGGACCAAAGTGACAAAATAAAAAAATGAAAATATATATTAACATAAATTCATGTTTTACCTATTTTATTTGCACTCAGTCATTAAAGTCACTAGTTTCCTTTCCTCTGACTAACTACTTCCTTTTACAGCTCCTCACATCACACATAAAGTAAAAGCTTATGCTGCACGATCCACTTCTAGGAATAAGCGCTTCACCTTCTGCGGTGCCAGACATTTGATTTTTGTTTCACGATATGTGCGAGTGAGAGAGAAAAAGCATCGCTGTTAGTTTTTCAGTTCCGTCGATGCACCTGACTGCAGTTAAATTAAAAACATTTCTAAACTTAGAGATTAAGGCTGCCGGTGGAGCTAGACTGAAACACTTTAAACTGCTGTCAGCTTCTTCAAATCTTCTGCTAGCAAACAAACCACTGATGATGTGTAGCATGTGATATGCAATCCAGTTTTTCAAGCCAGGTTCGCACTAATATTCAATCCTAACATTGGATTAGTGCATTTCTTATTCCCAAGTGGTTTTATAAAAGTTCATGTACTGGACACCAAAATTTAATAATATACTGAGGAGGTCTAATTAACACTGGTTATAAAACGATTAGAGTACCATTTTTGATGCAAGTTGCAACAGCTGAGTGTCAGAACCACTTCTGCTTCTCCTGCCCACTATAATAAGCAGATGTTAAAATGCTGACCAGACAACAACAACTAACTTCAAGTTGATCTATAACAAGGCACACAAACACACATTATCCTCGTTTCTCCCTCCTAAACCTATGTGCGACTTATCCGACTCAAAAAGGCAGACGTCCCTAAAACAACAACAATAGGTGGGCAGATTTCTTAGTTTATATCCATCCATCCATCTTCATCCGCTTTATCCGGGGCCGGGTCGCGGGGGCAGCAGCCTAAGCAAAGAGGCCCAGACCTCCCTCTCCCCAGCCACCTCCTCCAGCTTATCCGGGGGAATACCAAGGCGTTAGTTTATATGGTACAGCATAAAGCACGAGCTGCTGTTCGTCAGCTGCTGACTTCCAGACCACTAGACTGATTAAAATGAGAAGCTATCTGTTCCCTGAGATGCATGTGGGATCAATGATGGATGAAAGCAGATGATATGGGGTTTTTTCACGCAAATAGCAGTACCAGTCTAGAAACTCCATGGACACAACATACACATCATATTTACATACTAGAAACACATTGGACTCAATTCTCTCCTTCAGCCAGTCACATAACTTGAGCTAATGGACCACTTCTCTCGTTTCTCATCTTAAGTACCACAGTAAATGCTCTGAGAGCCACTCTATCACATTTAGTGTGAAAATCTATTCTAGTTACAAAAAAGTGTCTCAGTGATGCTGTAAATACAGCTACTACAGTAGACCCACGCTTTTACTTTTTCCTTCTCTTTTTTTAATCTGCAAATAAAACACCAACACCAAAGCTGAAATTCAACAGTTTGACATTATAATCATGTCTCTTTTACATATGTACATATGGCTTATAAACTTTGCCGTAAACAGCCCACAGGGCATACACTACTGTAATCCCAGGCCAAGTTGAGTTATTCTATACTAATCTGCACCATTTCACAGACAATACTTCCTCCATTGTCTATTTGCATTATTTATTTACCTAAATTGCCATCACTTGCTTACAAGAACACACTACAAACAAATCCATTATGTCAAGCTTCAGCTTTTACAAGTTCACGCAACAATATTCTTCCTGAGATTAAAGCTTACCTTGAGATAGGATCCAAAATACTTGGTGATGAAAGGACTGTCACACTGGCTGAGAACTGTGATTTCCTGCTGAATATCTTCTATTTCATCCTCCGCTTCCTCCAGATCAATAATTTTAATGGCCACAACTTTCTGAGTTCGATTGTCGATGCCTTTAAAGACTTCACCGAAAGAGCCTTTGCCTATCCTCTCCAACTTGGTGAAAAGCTCCTCTGGATCAGCTCTGAAATTCTGATTGACAGAGAAAAAAGACATTGAGAGAGAAAAAAAGAGGACATTTAAAGTAACATCAAACCTTGTCAGAAAATGTAAAATCTTAAGTTTAACAAATAAATATCCATCCATCATCTTCTTATTCAATACATGGTCGCGGATGGGCTGGAGCCTATCCCAGCTGTCACTGGGTAAGAGGCAGGGTACAACCTGTCCAGGTTGTTAGTGTTAGCCAGGTTGCCAGGGCTAACACAGAGACAAACACTCAGATTCACAGCAGAAGACCAGACCAGGTGTCACTCTTGTCAGCTAAAACCAGGAAGATGAGGCTACAATTCTCACATGCTCACAAAAATTGGGCAAGAGAAAATTGGAAAAATGTTGCCTGGTCTGATGAGTCTTAACATCTGCTGTGATGTTCAGATTTTAGGGTCAGAATGTGGTGTAAAAACAACATGAAAGCATGGCTCCAGCCTGCCTTGTATCAGTGATTCAGGCTGGTGGTGGTTATATAATGTGGAGGCCATAGTCTTAGCATACTTCAGGGCCCTTAATACCAACTGAGCATTGTTTAAAAATCATAGCCTATCCATTAGTGTAACTAATAATGTCCATCCCTTTATGACCACAGTAGGGCTGCCACGATTAGTCGACTAGTCACGATTACGTCAACTATCAAAATCGGCGACAACTAATTTAATAGTCGACACGTCATTTGAAGCTTTGTAAGATCCCAAAAGACGCAGGAATAAGTAGTAGGATTTAAGAGTGTAATAACGGACTGAAACAGAAGACGGCAGCACTGCATGTACAAGGATGCCAGCTGACGTTAAACCCCGAAGAAGAAGTGTCCCAGAATTCACAGCGCGGCCCATTGCAGCCCTGCTCAGTTTCCAACAATGGCGGCAGCTAGTTAGTTTTAATATTACTCTTATTATTCTTTCTGGGTCACAAAATAAACATTTAACATATTTTCAGGCGAGAATGTAGCTGTGTAAACCTCAAATATCTGCTCAGTTTATCAAGACACCACATATTTTCAAAAGCGCCCTGACGTTTTCGGAGACGTCTGTTACCCACTAGCTCGATAGCTAGCCGGGGTTCAAGACTCACTAGAGCCCGTGAGAACACCGGACTCCCAGCAAATCGTTTTCAAACCCACCGCCATCTTTCGCTACTCAGGTTAAACATGATATATAAGTCACTTAGATAACTTAAAAATGTTATTGTTTGGCTTTTTTCAGTGTTTTATTTGTTCCTGAGTAAATCGGTTTGGCTGAGATTAAAGTTAAAGTTTTCACACAGCTGAATAAATGTCAAGCAGACAACTGATTATCAGAAGTGTGAGATGCTCGAGAATATACTCCGGTGTCCTGTTATAGTTTAGATAGCAAGGAGCAGACGGCTGAGTTTATTAAACTTCACTGAAACAATCCGCAAATTTCATTAAAATTTAATAAACTATCATCTTGTCTTTATTTTTAGTTAGCACATACCTTAAACACTTAAAGCTCTAAGCTAATGATAGTTATATAAGAGCAGATGCTCTGCTGGTGCAATAAGTTGTACGTTTTATGTCCAATGGATGCATAATCTGATTAGTCGACTAATCGCAAAAATAATCGGTGACTAGTCGACTATCAAAATAATCGTTTGTGGCAGCCCTAGACCACAATGTAGCCATCTTCATATTGGTGCTTCCAGTAAGATAATTCACCATGGCACCAAGCTCAAATCATCTAAAACTGGTTTCTTGAACATAGCAATTCATTTACTCTACTGTGATGCTGTCATGTCAATATCAAGCAAAATCCCAGAGGAATGTCTCCAGCGCCTTTTTGAATCTATGCCTTGAAGTAATAAGGCACTTCTGAAAGCAACAAGGGTCCAAACTAGTACTGGCAAGGTACACTTAATAAAGTGACTTGTGAGCACACTTTACAATGAAACAGATCTGCAATAAAGAGGTAGTCTGCTTGTTTAGCAGTACACTGTCAGAAGGTTCAGGGAATTGTTTCCACTTAAATAGTAGAAACAGAGACATCCTCTTCGTGTTTTCTTGTGTCAACTTAGAGGTTAAACACAGCCTCCTTAATCCAGCACAGATCCAATGTAGACATCATCAACACTGTTAAGCACGTATCACCTTATTGACAAGTGATATGACAAGCTTTCCATGTTAGAAAAAAAATAATAAGAGTTGGGGGTTTAGGAAAGTCAATTCTGATCAATAACAACATGCTTCGTTTGGCTGTGATACCAATTTAGAAGATTGGTTTAGCTTTTAAAACCCTGTCCACATGAAAAAGGTTCCCTCCTCCCCCACTCCTTTGTAGCTGACAGTTGGTCAATAGTAGACTTTCCATCCAGTTACAAGTCCATCAAAAGTATACTTCTCAACTTTTAGGCAACACAGTTGGAGTGTAAGGTTAGATGAAGTCACCCATTTTTTTGTTTTAAAATCAGCTGTCACCACAACAAGCCTTTGAATTTCCTCTGACATTTCACAACTCTCTAATTACCATACTGTGATGACACATTATACATTGAATCCAGTCATCATCAAATCCTTTGTTACCAAAAATACAAACATTAGATTTACAAACTGGCCTTGACATATGAATGCAGATTAACTTTATCAAGTCAATTGGGTAATCTCATTACACTTGATAAAAGTCACTCTATATTAAATATTTAAAACTTATCAAGTCAAATTTGTGGCTTTGAGCTACACTTACATCAAAAGACAGCATAACACAGACCTGACAAAAGCTTAATGACCCTTGCACCACAAAGGCTAAGCATAAATTGAAGGACTACACCCTGAATTATTGACTGAGCTAAATGGCTTATTTCCCCATGGAGAACCAGGAAAGCAATAATGGTCTTCAAGCCAGGCAGTTCAATTTCCCTTCATATATGGCAATCATTAACCCAAACAGCCTGAGCAGAGCTTGGAGTGACTTACTTTTCATAGCAAAGATGGCACAGAATATTGAAAAAAAACAAACAAACAACAACCTCCCTCTAACGCTACAAAGCTAAACTATAATAAAATATTTATACATATTTTACAGCAGCTTTGATTTTTTTTGGGAAGATTTTAATGTTTAATTTACCACATAGCTTTGGCTTAAGTTGACACAATATATTGCTTGTGAGTTTCCTAGATAAAGTGCTAATGCAAAGTGGTCAAACCTTTTTAGAAGATGAGTTGAGAGCTGCAATCTGGCAAAGAGTGAGGCTGCTGAATTTGATAGAAATGGAACTTTACAAACAAATAAATCAAAGCAGTGCAGAACAAAGCAGAGTAGAAACAACAACCAAAATACTATCATAACACTGCTGTGATCAGTCATCCAGGTGAAAATCATAACGTTGAGGCTGACCTCTGAAAAAACAATGTGGAAAAACAACAAAGGCACTGTGACCACAGACGACACATGGGAATGTACTTGCCATATCCACAGTCAGCAGGTTTACTCCAACAACCAAAGCTGCCTGAACCTCGCTCTAAAACCTTGTGTTTAATGCTCTGCCAGCTGCTCTATACAACTGTGTAGTCTAGTGTCATCCACACACCACAGTGCCGCACCCTCAGGGGCGAAGACTCAATGTCAGCCACCCAACTGCATGCAAAGCTATGGGCACATATCTGATGTTACCTTTTAACCTGTGTTGTCTGTGGACATGTAAATGATTAACCAATAATTCATAGAGTTTCACTGTGTGCAATCAGTTACCTGCAGACAATCATGCATGCCAAGTTTCATTCTTACACGCACTGTAATGTGGCCTACTTTACTTAAGCAGGACGTGGCATGATAACCATAAAGTGGTCGGTGCATTTGATAGATAAAGTTATAAATTAACACAACTAATTTCCAAAAAAAGTTTACCTTTAATTGAAAGAGTAATGAATTAATGAACTGATTTTAAGGACATAACGAATCCACAATTATTCTCCTCTGATATTACACTGAAGATTGTAAGATTCTTAAGTGCTGATGGGTGTAAACAAGTGATCTACTTTTTTTTTTACAGCTATATTAATACATAATGCTGTATGGTTTTATATATTTAGTTATTGGGACAGGGCTAGACATTCTCTAGCTTCAGCTTCAGAAATACCAAGAGAATTAATTTCTCAGGTTTTCCTTATTTTAAACAGACCTATTACTCTTATTATTGCTCTTTTCCAAATCCACTAAATTTTCCAGCTTGTTTTTATTCTGGGATTCTCTTGTTGGAGCTCTGCAGGATTTCCAGTTCACATTGATCGTTCTTTATGTTAAACTGTGCTTTGGTGTAGCCCCTCAGTTCATCCTTTTCCCCCTACATTTAAGCCCTTTGAAACTTTACTCATGTTTAATATAAGCATTCATTTTAACAGTATATATGATAAATAAATTACATTTTAAAACTCCAGAAATCAGTCCAAAATGCAATCTTTAACCTTGGATCTGATCTCGACTACAATAAACATTATATGAATTGACCGGCCAGATGAATTACAAAATCATTTTCGATAATGACATTCTTTTTTTTTTCTTTCCAAAACTCATCTAGCTGGACTTTGGCAAATACGACAGGTGCATTTATTGGAAAGCAAAGGTTGCACATTCTCGGTAACTCGGATGCACATTACTTTCGGTTATTTGGCAAACTTGAAAAAAAAAAAAAAAGAAGTGAAAATGCCAAGTGACCAAGTTAGCTCGCAGCTGAATGTCAGATAATAAAACACAACACAAAAATTTCAATTTACCTGAATCCCCGGCAGTCCGCTCTGAATTGGAGAGTGAGCCATGGCGTCAAGTCAGCAAAGATGACGCCTTTCCTCGTCTTTTCACCTCTATTTATCAGAGGTATAACGTTTCTTTCCTAACAACACCCTGCTGTAACTGACAGAGCTCCAAACTATGAAAGACGTGCTACCTTATTAAAAGACGTCTCCAAACCAAAATAAAGTCAGGTTCACTTGTCGGCTCCTACTTTGAACCGCCTGCCTGCTTTCTCCTGACTCGCCTTCCGCAGTTAACGTTAGCAGACGTTAGGTAGGCTAGCGACTTTAGCAGCTGGTTAACAAACAGTTAGCAAAATAACTGCGTCGCAGCGTCCTCTCCGCGCGTGTTTGACAGTTTCCGGGTGAAAGTAATACAGGCGTGGCATAAAATAATCGCGCAGAGCGAATACATGCAAACTGTTATAGAGTTTGGTCGCTTGTTGTTCTATTCTCTCATCACTTTTCTCTCTTGCCCGGCGCCATCTTGGTTAATATCATTTTCGTTTAGCGAAGGACCAATCAGCGCGAGGCACAGCAGATGTCGTCATTCGTAAACCAAAAAACGTCACAAGTTAGTACCTTTCACTTTTCTGCATGGACATTTTTCTGGGGAAAACAAAGATATATTTGATGTGATTTTATTTTAGTCATGCCAAAACGGAAAAGCTCATTCTGTTCCCAAGAAACTACAGAAACCAAAACTGCTGTCCTACACTATTTATGAGCTTAAACAATAGCGCCTTTTCTTATTTCTTCTCCTTCTTTCAGCTGCTCCCTGTAGAGGTCGCCACAGCGGGTCAACTGCCTCCATCTCACCCTATTATCCTAGCATCCTCCTCTGGCCTCTCTTCGTCCCCAGCCTGCTCAACCTGAGCTGCCGCCCCCCGTCATATCCATACTGACAAAAGTGTCAATTCAGTCCAATTTATTAAATTGATATTTAATTATTTTTTAATTTGAGTGGGTGAAAATCTTTACAAATAAGTGTCAGTCGTTAAAATTGTCAAAGACATGTTTATAAAAGTCTGCTTTTTTTCCTTTTCTTTTTTAAATGACATCTATATTCTGTATATTTTTATGCATAAATATATACATTTAAGTCTCAAACTTAAATGTATATAATACGTAAATAATGAGGGAAAAATTGCTTTTACTTCTTCTGCTTTATTACAGCATGAAGGTAAATACCAGCATTTTACACAAAATGCATGAAAAAACTGCACTTACCTAAATTTGCATTTAATAGCTCCTGCTACTAAACTTGATATTTAGTTATAAATGGTAATGTTTAATTAGCTTTCCTTATAGTAGCTACACTATTAAAATACTGCTTAATGTATGCATTTGAATATCCGTAACAATATTTGAATACTAATCTAATAAGGATAGCTTATTCTATACGCTTTCCTTTCCTGTGTTTGGGGATATTTTGTTGATAATAATTTCTATTTTTCTCCATAATCCACTTATAATTTAAATTCTCTAAGTTCTTTAAATTCATGTTTTCTCACTGTTTTTCTCCAGACAGTGGTTTCTTTCAGTGTGCTGCGACAGAGGTATGTGACGAAATTTCCAGAGAAAGGAAATTTTACACTATAAAACTGTTGGTCATTTGCAACACATCAATGTCAACAAACAAACAAACAAAGGCGTCATGCTGGTCTTATACTGGTATGAAACTCTTTCACTTGCAGTATGGCTCATGGGACTGGGGTGCTAAACCTGGCATGTGTTGTTAGATATTTTGATACCACGGTAAGCATTTACAGGATATTGTTTTATACAGGAAAACTGTTACTCAATAAGGCCAATCTACTAGTTGTTTTTCTCTTTCTCTGTGACCCAAGAATTAATGTGTAAGACTCACAAGCTGGTACCAGAAGGTCAAAAACACCACAGAGACGAGACCACTTCCTTACTCCCATCCTCCCTTTTTCTTTATCTCCTGGAAAAGGCTCGTTAAAGGCTAGGTGGTTCGTTTCAGAATTCACTGATGAAAGAACTCTGTATTCTATGTCTAGGAGTGTATTTTGCTGGGATGATCATAAATTGTAGCTGAACTGATAAACTACACAAGGGATACTTTGCTCAGAAGGCAGGAAGACGTTTCCTTATTTGGTCTGTACCGGTTTGAACTGGGAAAGCTGACACACGAACCTTTTTTCATCTATATAAACTGCTGTGTATCAAATAAACCTTTGAGTCGATTTGGGAAGACAACCTGAAGCAGTCTGTGTTTCCTTGTTCTCCCAAGCTGCTCCCGACGTCGTAACTAACCCAGCTGAATGGCATACCTGAGTGTTACTTTAAATAATTAGGAATCTTATAAGGAAAGGACAGAACTCTGCTTATCGCTCACGCCACGGAGGAAACCCGGGAAGGCAATTTCCTTCAATCTTGGTGTCAGAAGTGGGATGGCTGACAGAAGGTAAATATGCGTCTTTCATATTTATATAAAGACCTATTATACCTCTCTCAGTGATCGATCCATAAAAAAAAACGGGATATGCTGACGAAGTTTCACTTAGTGATCCAGAGAGATACACTGACTGACTTCCTCAGTCCCCGAATAAAGTAAATTAACCCTTGTGTGGTGTTGGTGGACCCAGGAAGTTGCCTGTTGTCTTGAATATTTTAATTTTGTTTAAGTTGCTCACTCAGAAAGAGTGACACAGGAAGTTGCCTGTTGTCTTAAATACTTCTCGTTAAGTGAGAAGTTGCTCACCAAAGAGTGACACAGGAAGTTGCCTGTTGTCTTAAATACTTCTCGTTAAGTGAGAAGTTGCTCACCAAAGAGTGACACAGGGAGAAGTTGAACGGGTCTCACAGACCCGATTACCATACAAGGGTTAAAAGCAGTAAATTAAAAGCAGAAAGACACAGGAAGTTGCCTGTTGTTTTACGAGAAGTTGCTCGTTAAGCGAGAAGTTGCTCGCTAAGTGAGAGTTGCTCACACAAACAAAAAATTGCTAGCAATAAATTTAAAGTGACCTCAGCTGTGCCGCAGCGAAAATACTAACCTAAATCCTCCTAGCGTGTAAACCCCTCTGGAAATCACTGAACATGGGTCAGAATTATTCAAAGACCACAGACAGGTCCGATAAAAAATCTAAAGTACCTGTAAAACCAAAAATTAATAAAATACAAAATAAAGTCTCAAATAACGGCTCAGTATAACTCCCATTTCCGGTTACGTGTAACCTACGTCCGCGAATCGGTGAAGACGTCCATGATCACGTATCCAGAACATGCGGGAGTGCTTATGTGACTGACTTTGTTTACAACTTAAGAAGTTCAATGCATTCTAATTTCTTTTCGGAGCCTTATCCCGAACGATTATCGCCAGAAAACAGGTCAGTAGAAATGTTGAATATCATTTGTGATAAGAAAAGTAGTCTGCTTAAAAAGTCCTGTAGAAAATATATGATAGAATGCCGCGACGTGATGCATCAAATGTTACCGCTATGGACAAAAGGAGGGTAAATAATGACAAAGTCGCCGATTTCTTTAAGAATCTAAAGAAATTCCTGCTAACAATGTCCAGAGACAAAATTGACTTAAATGCAGTAACTATGTGTAAACAGAAGCCTGATGAATCTATCCTAGTATTCATAAAACGCTTTATGCACTGTTGGACAAGCTAGAGGTGCAAATTCAGCTCAGTTTTCCAGCAGCCGCAGACACCCAAGGCAAAAATGAATTTGTGTATTTAATTTAACATAAAGGGTGAAATGTTTGCTGACACTGATAACAGCTTATGTTTTCTCTGCCCTATGTACCGACATGATGGAGAAGGAACATCCTCTGTGTCAGCTGGACCCTCAGCAGAGAATGAACTCAACATCCTTTTTGTCCGGTACTCTATGTCACACACTGTGCCAAAAAAAAAAACGTGTACAGACGCCACTAACAGGTAATCCCATGACTGGGAGCCACACTTTTGTTTCTCTCACACTGTTCAACAACATGATAACTGCTCACACAAGTGAAGGTCAAACAGTGATTTTGTTACATAACTCAGACATAGGTTACGAAATATGTCGTCACATAGATCTAACCTATCCTATCCACTGTACTATTTCTGCACTTACGTTGCCAGCTGCATACCAGAATATGACATTGTGGTCAAAAAGTGAGAATGAGATAGGATTTATTGACTGCATACCTTATCACGCACAGCTAAAAAAAACAAAAAGCGAGTATATGTCAGGCAATGTCCCCTTTCCACGGAAAAAGCCGCAGCCCTAGATGTCATCATAGGAGATTTATTGACTACAGGAGTAATAAAGCCCAAACTCCTGTCAATCCTGTGCCAAAGCCTAACAAACCTGGCGTATGGCGTTTCATACAAGACTTGAGGCAAATTAATGCAGTCAACATTCCTCTGCCACCTCTCGTTTCAGATGTTCACAGCATATTGACATGCATTGCATACACACTTTACCGTGGTGGATTTATGCTCCGCTCCTTTTTCTCAGTACCTGTGACACACAGCCGTTATTTGCATTCACACATAGAAATAAGCAGTACACTTGGACTCGTTTGCCCCAAGGCATGATAGACAGCTCTGCTGCTTTCTCAATGGTGCTTCACTCCTCCAGGGCTGCACCCTGATCCACATGTGGATGACCTCCTCCTCTGTGCTGAAAGTGAAAAACTATGTCAAACTGCTACACACATGCTTGTCCAGCACCTCCAAAAGACTGGCCACAAAGCATCAGCAAAGAAAATGCAGTACTGTCAGACTTCTGTTCAATATTTGGGATTCACACTGTCTCACGGAAAACGTTCCATGACTGCAGACAGGGTCAAAGCTGTGACCTCTGTCCCTCGGCCCACTACACAGAAGGAAATGTTGTCCTTCCTAGGCATGGTGAACTATTGCAGACAGTGGATACCAGACTGTTCTTTTCATGACCACATTCTGCGTGACTGTTGTAAAAAAGACAAGCCTCCTCGAATACTGTGATCCACAGAAATGACTGTCTCTTTCAATGCATTAAAGGGAGTGCTGACCTCCGCCACTCATAGGTGCTGCCTGAATTGTTCAGGAATGCCGGCCTGCCTGAGGGCAGTAGTAGCTTGCTCTATCATGATAAGGGACTGCGAGAAGCTCACACTCTCACATGACACTATTCTACACACCAATCACCAGGTCACGACCATTGTAGCAAACATAACTAAACAACATATGCAAATCTCACTATAAAAGCGAGCAGCACACCTGATTCGCCATGACATTTATTGATACTATTCTGTGTTCTTCTGACCGACAGGATGGCTCAGACAGGCTTGACGTTCATGACTGCATGACACGTATACAGGAATCCACAGCACAACGTCCAGATTTAGAGCAAACACCTATCCCAGACTCAGCCATGGTTTATGTGGACGGGTCCTGTTCAAGGCCGAATGACAACTCATTTCTTTGTGGCTATTCAGTGGTGACATTGCCTGACATCATACTAGAGGCTCACTCATTACCATTTCACTCAGCACAAAAAGC